CTGTGGGCCATGCTACTTGTCTTTCACGCAAATTCTCACTTCTATATAACTTTTCTCATGTGACTCTTTACACAATTATAATTACTTGCTCAGGTCCCCTCCCCCCCATTAGACTATATTTTCATGAAAGTAGAACCTTTGTCTTAGTCATTTCTGTATCACTTTTCACAGTTCTTTCTAGACCCAAAACTGTAAAATCAACCTTAAATATTTGTTGGGTGATAATTAACTATGTAGTAACAAATCTAGAATTTGTATTCTTGGCTTCTTAAAGATATCTAAAGAAGGACTTGCATGGTTTCTTTTTTCATATGTCACCTTCTTTAGAATTCTGTGATCCTAATAGTAGATACACTTTTCATCGTTTTTATTCAAAAGATAACCAGCCAATCAATGCTCTTTTCTTTTTTGATATTAGGTGGTAATTGAAACTCTGTCAGTTGGAGCAACCATGCTATTACCTCCATTACGAGAACGGATGGAGTTACTTCATTCTCTTTTACCCCAAGGACCTGATAGATGGGAAAGCTTATCTAAAGGACAGGTAACCCTTTGTGTGACATCTAGTTATATCATAAAACATTGGAGTGAGAGGGAAATAAAGCCGATCAGCTGCCACATGTTCAGGGGTAGTGCTTGACAGATCTGATTATTTAATGTTATATGATAGAAGAATTGCAGATGTCTAGTGACTGCAGGTAAAGCAAATAATAATAAATTAAATTACTTGGGGATAATTACTAAAATAACAACTAATTTCCCCAGTGTTGATTACTGTGTTAAACCAGAGACCCTTTGGTTTATTTGTAGTTTGTTGAGTAAAAATCAAAGGTATGTGCTGCTACTGTTGGTTCCACTTACAGAACTTTGTCTGCAATTATTTATCTAAAAAGCAAAAGATGACCATTAAGGAAAAGTATGTGAGGATATGAATATTATTATTTTTTCATTTCTCTTATTTTAAGTATATTAAAATAAGTAAATTTTGTTGAACAAAATAGAAGAATCATTTTTAGAGATACAGATTTGAAGGGAAAAGTGGTAAAGTATATTATCCATAGATATTTTCCAATGAGTATTTTGCATTAGTTTAAATTTCAAATGATTTATTTTAAACATTAAGTAAGTAGTTGTCATTAGAAATTCTTTAACACATAGTATAATTTGTCTGTTGGCATTTCCTACTCCTATTTATAGTGCTTAAATTATGCACAATATGCTATTTTAGCTTAGAGTTTTAGTTATTATAAGAACATACAATAAAAACCATTTAGTTATATTTCTCTAAATAGTATTAATTGGATAGTTTTTCTTATAATTATACAGTTTCTGAAGATTATTATTTATCAGGCTATTACATAGATTAGTTAGCATCTTTAGTAGTATATTTTTCTAGGATCCTTTTTTTAATCTCATACGTTGTAAGCTAATTGTGTATTCCTGTTTCATTGTTCTTTAGAGAATGCAGCTGGACATCATTCTGACAAGTTTGCAAGATCATACCCATGTAGCCTCCCTACTTGGCTATAGCTCGCCCTCTGATGCTGCTGACCTCTCTTCTGTGTGTACTGGCTATGGAAACGTGTCAGATCAGCCTTATGGCACTCAGAGCTGTCATCCAGACACCCATCTGGCTGAGATTTTGATGAAGACCCTCTTAAGAAATTTAGGATTTTATACAGTAAGTTGCTTTTTCATTACAGTAAAAGAAAAAATAAAGGAGTAAGTATCTCCTTACATCAAGTATTTGACATTTAAAAACTTAAGATGGGCCGGGGATTTAGCTCAGTGATTCTGCCGCCTGCCTCAAAAGTGCAAGATCTTGAGTTCGATCCCTGGTACCAAAAAATAAAATAAAATGAAAGAAGAACTTAAAATAAGGGCCGGGGATTTAGCTCAGTGGTTCCACCACCTGCCCCGCAAGTGCAAGGACCCGAGTTCAATCCCCGGTACCAAAAAAAACCACTTTAGATATAAATTAAACTGTAGATCCTCCTGTTTCCCCAGAAAGAGAAATGTGTCAGGTCTTCTGAAATGTTATGGAGCCCAATAACATGTAATTGAGAATTACAAAGAGATTTATGTTAGAATTTTACCAGACTTTCTCATTGATAAGAATAAGCAGATAAAAGTAGTCAAAAAATTTAAAGAGAATAATGAACAAGGTGTTCACCTTATCCAGATGCAATCTATAATAATTCAGTTGGTACTAAGAATAGGGTAGTTAGTAGGAGAGAAGACAGTGAGCCCTATGGCTTTGTTTGTATGAGTGTGCCATTAATTCCTTCTCTCTGTTGTTTCTGAAACTCATCCTTTTCCCCCACTACCAGAACCTATTTTAGATCAGGCCTGGTCATGATTGATCTAATACTAAAACAGTGTTACAGCTGTTGTTACTATTGCTGATTTCTTTTCAGCATCTTATTGGAGTTATTTGGAGTTTCATCATTGGCTCATGCACCATCCTTATCAGTACCACTCTTTTCAGTGTGCATCTTTTCCATTTGTACATGGTACACTTATCTCCTGATTGTTGTTTTTTACCAATCTGACTTCTTTAAGTCTTGGGTGTTCTAGGAACCCTTGATGAGATAACCTTGTCTAACTGTGTGATTGATTATAGCTGCACAGTCCTATATTGGTAAGCACTTTTAGGACCAGAGTATACTGTGTGTTAACCTTGAATTGTTTATATATCATTTCATGTTGTCTGCTATACCTCTGGAGGGCTGGATTTGTATATTCTTTTTTTCCTGTATAAGTCTCATGCTGTGTTCTGCCCATAGTAAAAGGCTGTTGACTAAGTCTGAAAATTGTTCCTATAGAACTTTTTTCATTCTGGTTTAGGAATGTAAGTTGGATATGATGTTTGGTATTTGTAGGAGGTAATGGCTACAAATGGTCAGGAAAAATGTTATGCTCTGTGTGTTTGTTAATAACTAAAAAATTTTTCCAAAGTTCTAAGCAGCCTGTTTGCTATAATAAAGCAGTGGTTTTCTTATGTGATTAAGGCTGAGTCAGATATGAGTATTTTATGGAAAAAGAAATAAAATACTAATCACCTTTGCATTAAAATTATTGTTTAAAATATAATTTAAATTAAATTTGTCATATTTTAAGACTTTAAAATAATGATGCTACTTCACAGCTTATAAACAAGGGCCTTAAAATGTTCTCATACTCATATTGTATAAACCTAGACTGAATTTTATGCATAAAAATATCCACATTATTATAATAAAAATTAGAAATAATGGAAATACCTAAAAATAGAGGAGTGGTTCAGTAAATTATGGTGTATATGCTCAATAGAATATCTTATGACTTAAAGTTTATGTACGTGTGAGTTACAAAAATGTAGGAAACATTTCTAAGTCTGTTGGAAAGAAACAGACTAAAAAATAGAATATACAGTTTTATGTAAACATGAAACAGACCAAAAAATAAGTAAATCAAAAGATCCTAATAGTCATTTTCTTAGGGACAAATGGTAATTTTAACTTTTAACTTCTTAGTTTTTGATATTTTCTGAATGTTTCATAGTGTGCATTTTTTTCTAAGAATATTTTTAACTTGAAATAATTTAAAACTTTACAGAAGAATTATAAGAATTATTCAGAGAACTCTCCTGTACTCAACTAAATTTGCTGTATCCATCCTTTTTTATTTCAAATCCTTTGAGAGTAAGGTGTTGATATCATACCCTTAATTATGTAGGATAGATCAGTATGCATTTCTTAATACCAAGGACATTCTTTTACAGAACAACAGAAAAATGATTAAATTCAAGAAATTTAACTTTCATGCTGAGCTGTTATCTAATGTTTAAATTTTAACCACTTACTAGTCCAACTATTTAAACACAGGATGACCAAACATTGCATATTTTTTCATTAA